ATTAACACAATTCAAGATAGTAACCATCACTGTTAAGAGTAGCTGAAAGGCCCTTTGTTTACATATAAATAAATATTTCTGGGATACAAATAATAATAGTTGACTCAATACTTCCCAGGAAAGGCAAACCATCCAACTTAAGTCTTCTTTCCCACAGATGTTATATATTTTCATACACACATATATGTATGCTGTGGGATGGTCTGTATGTCAAATTGCTCTGATTGGTCAATAAATAAAACACTGATTGGCCAGTAGCTAAGCAGGAAGTATAGGCGGGACTAACAGAGAGGAGAAAAGAAAGAACAGGAAGGTAGAAGGAGACACTGCCAGCCGCCGCCATGACAAGCAGCATGTGAAGACGCCGGTAAGCTACAAGCCACGTGGCAAGGTATAGATTTATAGAAATAGATTCATTTAAGCTATAAGAACAGTTAGCAAGAAGCCTGCCACAGCCATACAGTTTGTAGCCAATATAAGTCTCTGTGTTTACTTGGTTGGGTCTGAGCGACTGTGGGACTGGTGGATGACAAAGATTTGTCCTGACTGTGGGCAAGGCAGGAAAACTCTAGCTACATATGTACACGTGTGTAATATACATGTGTGGAAGCAGATGCTTTCCTCAACCATGGTCAACTTTCTTTTTTTTTTTTTAATGTGTTTGAATGTTTTGCCTGGATGTTTATGTGGGTACCATGTAGAAGCTTGATGAGTTCCACATGAACTAGCAGTTCAAAAGCCAGAACAAGGAGTCAGACCCTTAAAACTGGAGTTACAGTTCTGAGCCACCATGTGAGTGCTGAAAATTGAACGCAGATCACCTGCTACAGCAGCTAAGTGCTCTTAACCACTGAGCCATCCCTTCAGCCCAATGTGGTCTCTCAGTAAAACTAGAGCTTACTGATTTGACTAGGCTAGCTGGTCAGTGAGCCCCAGGGGTCCTCATCTCTACCTCTCCAGCACTAGACATATAGCAGACATGCAACACCACACTCAGCTTTTCTGTGAGTGGGAGGGATAGAACTCAGGCCTCCTCCATGCTTATGCAACAAGCTCTTTACTGACGGAGCCATTTCTCTACACGCCCCCCCCCCCCCCCCGTGTTAGATCTTGAACCATGAGGAGCTAGACAATCATCACGGACCCTGAGGGTTGAATGATGTTTTCGCTTCACCTCCTTTACCTGTGGCTCAATACAAACTAAGCGACTCATTGAAGAGGAGATGGATGAGCAGAATTCCGCTGACCTATCCCTCCAGTGAGCATGCAGCCCTTGGCTAATTCAAGGACTGGTGAAAGAGAATCTCATATGGAGAGTAGCTGCGCCCTAGTTTCCTTTTGTGTGGTGGCCACAGAACAAATCTGTAGTGAGAAGGATGGGTGCTGTGTATTTATACAGCTCTCAGTATTTCAGAAAGGTCCCTCAGGTGCTGCAGTCAACAGTCACGCACCCCACTGCTGGGAGCCATTCATTTCCTCGTACTCCTCATGCTTCTAAGTAATATAGATCACGTCTCTCAGGACTATGTGATCCTGGGAAACTCACATAAATGTCATGAGCCTTGGCATTAGCATCATTCTTCAAATGTCAAAAATAGACCTTTAAGCTAGCTCCTAGTTATAAATGTAATGGAAAGGAAAACACACACACACACACACACACACACACACACACACAGACACACACACACACACACACACACACACACACACACACACACACACACATCAACACTGACTGTTCTAGAACAGCCATGAAACTCCAACACAAGCAGCCAAGAATGGCTTTTTCTTCCTCTGGAAGTGAAGTATCCTTTTGTTAATTTATTTGGTTAGTTTGTTCTCTCTCTCTCTCTCTCTCTCTCTCTCTCTCTCTCTCTCTCTCTCTCATGTGTGTGGGTGTGTGTGTGGGGGGGGTGTATGATAGTGCGTAGTGTGTATGCCTGTATATGTTGTGTTTACGTATCTGATTTTGCTCCCCACCCCCACCAACCCTGGAGCTACACACAGGGCCACACTCAGCTTTTTATCTGCTCACTGAGGACCTGAACTCAAGTCCTCACACTCACCGGGCACCCACTGAACCATCTTCCCAGCCCTAGACGTGAAAGTATCTCTAGCCCATCCTTGTTCTCAAGGAAAGAAATGAAGTGGTGCGGATAGAGCTAAGTCTTCATAGCAAGCCGGAACTGGGTGTTAGCCTGACAGGAGCACCACTGTGAGATCACACCTCAGAAGCTGAGAACTGAAAACAGGCTATGGGAGTATTCATCACAGGGCCGGGCACTTTCAAAAGAAGAAATCTGCAAAGGAAATGATCAATGACCAAAAACCTGAGAAGTAAAACTTGAGGACCTTCAGGAACCCAGAGTCTATCTAGGTGATTTGAGGAGGCACTATGGTAAGGGACCAGATGAAAGAGAAAATAAAGCTTCGTGTTTCCCTTATTCCATCCCTGCGGGGTTACTCTTACATGAGTTTTTTTTTTTTTTTTTTTTTTTGGTTTTTCGAGACAGGGTTTCTCTGCGTAGCTTTGCGCCTTTCCTGGAGCTCACTTGGTAGCCCAGGCTGGCCTCGAACTCACAGAGATCCGCCTGGCTCTGCCTCCCGAGTGCTGGGATTAAAGGCGTGCGCCACCACCGCCCGGCATGAGTTTTAACTGGTGGGTGTCATGTAAATTCCTTTCTCAGGCAATTCCATTCTGAAAAGTGAACATTACCTAAATGGAGTTTTCTCCTGTCTATAGACCACTCTGCTCACAGCAGGCTGTGGGTGTGGAAGACTCCAGTCTGGTGCCCATGAATACCACACCCACTTCTCACTCTGCAAAGGAGATGAAGCTTTGTCCAGCATCCTTATTAGTATATCTGATGTTGCTGCCTGATGGAATCCCTGGTGATGCTGGAATTTTAAATGAAGGCTGGATCTTTAATCACTAACCCACATGAACTTCTTTCAGACCCGTCATCATTTTCAAGATTCACTAAATAAACAAACAGCCGCCTACCTATCCACCTCCCATCACATGCTCCGACTGCCAAAAGGCAGGCAGTTTCCATGGAAGACTACACCCCCAACCTGCCAATCAAGGCGTCTTTAGTCCTCAATGTCTCCGCTGCCAGCTCAGTGATACATTTACTGGTGCAAATGATCAGCTAACCAAAGGGCTCCTGGTTCACTCTTCCAGAGGCAACTTTCTTTCCAAAGGTGAGCTAGCCCTCGGTTCCTCAAAACAACTCTGCTCACATCCAGCTTCCCACGATTCTAGAAACCACCACTAAAGACGTCTATCCTCTCTTTTTCTCCCCAAGCCTATAAAAAGACAATCCTTGAGTACACAGTAGACTTAAATGTAAAATGGGCAGATTCATGCTCTTGACCCTCAAAACCCCTGCTGTATCTTCCCGTCGGCAGAGCCATACCCTCTGCCGTGGCGCTTGGCTGTGTCAACCTGGCTGAACTGGAGTTGCCGGTTTTTTCCAATCAGACACTAATCTGAGTGTGGCTGTGGAAGGATTTGGCAGATTCAGTATAAGCCCTCGCTCAGTTGACTTTAATTAAGGCAGATCATCCTGCAGCTTGGGTGGGCCTGGCTAACCCAGCAGGAAGGCCCTCCGAAGCTTAGAGAAAGCTCCTCCTCCGAGAGGAGAAAGCCAGGATGAGCGTGGTGGTCCAGGTCTTCAGTCAGCGCTGGGAACTCTGGGTCAGAAAGATCGCCGCTTAAACTACAGTGTGAATTCTGTACCCTGTCTCAAAATTTTTTTAAAAATCAATTAATTAGTTGGTTTATGAATACAAAAAGCCATGTGTGAGCCATGTGAAGAGCTCCTCGCTGAGCTGTCTGCCTCTCCCGCCATCCCCATTTCTGCAAATGAAGCACTAACTGATCCCGCTCCTAGTCCACGAGACACAAATTCACTGTAAATACTGATCCTCACCCCGGGCCCACCACACACATACCCACGGGAATGTCCTTCTTAAGGGCCCTTAATCAGGACTGCCCTGTTCCCCTCTCCCATGTCTATTGCAGAGATGGTGTTTCTTGCCCAGAAGACTAACCTGTGTGTAAGTATAGATTTATTTTTTTATTGTTCTGTAAGTGTGCTTATATGAAATCTCTGCTAGGAGTACAAATGTTAAATTCTGCTTAATTATGTATGTTCTGTCCAGTGTTGTCCTGGGTGGCGCATGCCTTTAATCCCAGCACTCTGGAGGCAGAGCCAGGCGGATCTCTGTGAGTTCGAGGCCAGCCTGGTCTACAGAGCAGAGAGCCAGGACAGACATCAAAGCTACACAGAGAAACCCTGTCTTGAAATATAAATAAATAAATAAATAAATAAATAATTGTACTGTCCAGTTTTTACTGAAAAGAATTAAATAATTTGAAATTGGGATGCTGAGGCTAACTTAAGCCATATAGATGATCATGGTATCAATTTCCAAATGAACTGTCTTCCCACATCTCCTGTATATTACCTCACATATGTTCAGGCTTTAGATGGGTCACCATGAGGTGTTTATGCCATATGGACATAGACTTAAGTACAATAATCTTATGGTATACATTTATAGAATTTTTCCATAGATGCTACTTCATACAACCAGTGATTTGACCCCAGCAGCATAAGCATCAGCTGGGAACTCGATAAATAAATATATATATATATATATATATATATATATATATATATATATATTCATGCACACCCCAATTTGCTAAATCAAGATCCCTGCCAAGGAGGGGTACCCAGAAATCCATATTTCAATTACTCCCTGTGGAGGAGACTGACACCCTCTAGTGTCACTTTAACTGAAGACTGAGAATCTAGCACTGGTAACGTGCAGACAAACGTGCAGATATTTATACACGTATAAATATCGTGTATATTTATACGATGAAGTTGAAAGTCAAGAAAAGATACCATTTTACTGGGTTTGAACTAAAAGGCTTCAGTATGAAAGCAACTACAATCCACAAACAAGGCATAAACTTCCCCTCTGGACAACACTGGAATCAGCCATATATTCAGAAATATTGTGAAGTTTCTCCGTGGTGCTAGATTTTCTCAGAAATTAAGACGAACGTGTGCACAAGTTACTTTGCACATTACTGCAACAGAACATCTATGATGTTCACACTTGCCTACAGGCCAATCAACCAGAACAGGATGATTCTAGTTCACAGTTCAAGGACGCCATCTGTCATGATGGGCGATGGCATGGCAGCTAGAGCCTGAAATGACTGGTCCCAATGCTTCCACAGTCAGGAGGCACAGAGAGATGGATGCACTGCCTTCTTTATTGTCTCTTTTTATTCAGTCTGGAACCCCAGATGTTCTAGTTAGACTTCCGTTGCTGTGATAAACACCAACCATGACCAAAGGCAACTTGAGGAAGAGAATGGTTTGTTCAGTTGATCTTGTGGGAAGTCAGGGCAGGAATTCAAGCAAGAACCTGGAGACAAGAACTGGATTAGAGACCATGGAGGAACACTGCTTAATGCTATGGCTTGCTCTGCATAGCTTGCTCAGTTTGCTTTCTTATACAACCCAGAACCACCTACCCAGGAGTAGTGTGGGGCATTTACCCACCAACCCCACAGCTTCCCAGAGTTTTCTTGAGTGTGAGCAGCAGGAAATATTAGATAGAAGGATTTATAGCGGAGAATCTTGCAGAGATGAACAGATAAAAAATAAAGGATAGCCTTGAGAGGGCCTGGAACCTATTCCAACGGGCCCCCACTGTCTCTGCCCCAGGGTTTTTATAGAGACGCCAAGGGGTGGAGCAAAAGACCTCCTCCCCCAGCACAGCCAAGTGCAGGCCATCTCAGACACCTGCACTCAGGCCCGTGGTCCTGATCATCCTCTATGCGGACCTGCTGGGTAAAGCCACAAGGAACCCAAGAACGGGCTCCCACAGAGTAGCACTGCCCACACTGAGCTGGGACCTCTTCTGTGGAACATTAATCAAGAAAATGCCCCCCCACACACTTGCCTACAGGCCAATCTAATGGAGGCATTCCCTCAACTGAGGGTCCCTATTTCCAGATGACATGAGTTTGTGCCAGCCTAACAAAAGTCAACCAGATCACCAGCCTATGAGATGGTGCCACCCACTGGTGGGTCTTCTCATCACAATTAACCCAAACTAGACCCTCCCTTACAGACATGTCCAGAGGTTTGTATCCATGGTGATTCTAAATCCCATCAAGTTGTCAATCAAAATCAACATTACCACATATGCACATAGAGATGATGTTGGGAAGTATTAGCTTTTGGTTATTCTTCATCTGTCCATCCTCACGTTTGTGTTCACCCGGCTACTGAGCAGAAACCGTATTCTGTGTGTTTGTCATTAAAACACAGAAAAAAAAAATGAAGATACCTGTAAACTTTTACTTGTAAAAGACTTTCTTTTCCCTGAAACCATTTCCCCATACCACCAGCCCTCATCCCCAGTAGTGACAGAATCCCCTGCCTACAAGAGATGGGTAAAGGATGCAAAGCAAATGCCATGAGTTGAATGTGGTTGGCTCTTCAAAAGTCCATGTGCTAGAAGCTTGTTCCATGGTGTAGCAGTGTTGATGGGGTATTTAGGGGCATGGGGCCACATTCCAAGATTCATGTTCGATGCTTATCTCTCAAAGTGGGTTGGGCCTCAAAAGTATGAGTTTATCTTTGCAAGTATGGGGTGAGACTCCACATGCATGTGTCTTTTCCCTTTCTACTTCTCTACATGTTGTGATGCAATTAATGGTGTTTTAACTGGAATGTAAATGCCATGGATGAAGGATGCTAATGCCATGTTGTCTGGATATGCAAGTCAGACCCCACCCACCCCATCCATTGTGCACAAAAAAAAAAAGGAACCTAGGGCAGAAGCAGTGGCTCAGTGGTAAAGAGCATCAAGTTTTGTCCTCAGCATTTATGTGATAGCTAACAACTATCTGTAACTCCAGTTCCAGGGAATCTGACACCCTCTTCTGGCCTCCACAGGCATTGCACATATATTGTACACAGACATACACACAGGCAAAAATATTCATATACATAAAATAAAAATAAATATTTTTAAGTTGAGGAGGCAAATAAATGTCTTTACTTATAAAATACTCAGCCTCAATTATTTTGTTATAGAAACACAATGGTTTAGTAGAGTAATTTAAACCATCACTTAAAGGATGAGTTTCACAGAGAAAAATTTAAAAACCAGTGTTGAGTGCAAATCAAAAGAGAAGAAAAGTAATGGAACAAAAATGAAAGATGTGAGTTCCCTGCAGTCATTTCCGTAGAGTCACACATAGCCTCCGGGGAGATCTGTCCTGCAGGCCACTGACCAGGCCGAGCACATGTGGGTACACTTCCCTACAACACTCAGGGTAAAATGTCAAATGCCTTAGAAGAGTATGGAAGGTCAACGCGGAATACTGGAGAAATAAGGACCAAACTGGAACCATCTGTGAGTGTTAACCTCAAATTATGATTTTCCTCAGATGATGACAGCAGGAATTCAATATCCCTCCTTGAATTGATGTCATTTCTAGGTGTCCCTCGGGCTGTATGGAATATCCAAACTGTCCACACTCATTTTCTTTTACCCCCAAAGACAGGCAACCTCTTCTAACGGGATCAGACTCCACTTATGCTCTAAGGACCTTTCCCTCTGCCCACCTCCTCTGCTCCTTTCTTGATTCTGTTCCTTTCTCCCTCCCCTACATTAACTGGTCTTCTTATTTTATTCAGGGTTCCTTCAGACCACTGTGCATAAGATGCTCATACCATACGGACCAGCTCCGATCTGGTCAAACAAACTCATCTATCATCCTCCCTTCCTTAGAATCATTCACAACCAGCTGTTTAGTAATTTTATTGCTTGTGTTTCCTGTGTCTTTAGAAAGACTGTGAGAACAAGACCACTGGAAGCAAACTTCAGAGAGCTACTTTCAGTCTTTACTTCTGTTCTGGAAAAGCTTTTTGTCATCTGTATAATAAATGAGTCAAACTGTTGCCATGATGGTTTCTTCCCACTGTAAAATGTCACTATTCTCATCGTGTAGCTAAACTGGGATTATTAAGCCACAGAAATTAACTTTGTTTCAAGTACAGTAATAAACTTCTATATTTCAAGAGAAAATTTGCAAACAACAGTCATACCAGGTAGCCAGTCGGAAGCACTGTAGCCAAAGTAGATCCTCCTTTTGTCTTCCAGCCTTTTTCATACTCCCCCTTGATATGCTAACGTTTGCAGTGATACAAGTTTTTCTCCAGGAACTGCGGGAAACTCTGCACAGCACTGCCACTATTCTGTCATCCTCTTCCACCTTTTTCTTGTGAATTCCATGCAACGAAGTAGCTCTTGTTTCTGGGCCTTCCCAGAACCTACCATAAGCATGCATCCCACTATGGCTTACATATGAAATGTCCCCAAAGGTTATTGTACTAAAATCCTAGGTCTCCACTTGGGGAAGCTCTGGAAACTTTGGAAGATGGGGCCTATCTAGAGGAGGTGGGCCCTGAGGGTGGGACTATGGGATTATCTGTCCCTGACTCCTCCCTGTCTTGTTCTCTGTTTCCTGTTTACCATGGTGGAGGCTGCATAGTCCAGGCCTCCTCTGCCATGATGGACAAAATGCCTCTAAGACTATATAACAAAACAAGTCAATCCTTCAATAGGGTACTCAATCACAATGAGAAAAGTAGCCCGTGCATTTCTAATAACTAAAGATAAAATTCTTAGTCATAAAATTGTACTACCACACTACAAAAAGACACTACAAAAAGGAAACTTATATGTGTTTTGCTGAGCATAAGAAGCCAATTCAGAAAGGCCACAGATTGTATGATCCAAAGTATGTGGCATACTGGAAAATGCAAAACTATCTGGCAGGTAGAGACCGAAGGTTCAAGGTCATCCTCAGATACATACTGAGTTCAAAGCCAACTTGGATTATATGATTCTTAAATAAATAAATAAATTATTTAAAAGGAGAGAGAGAAAGAGAAAAAAGTCAGTGGATGGCAGAAACCTTGGGGAAGGAAAGAGAGAGGGGCAGTTAGTTAGATGGGGCCTTATGGAAACAAAGCACATGTTCTATGTGATACATTCTGGTGGATGCAGAATGTCACACATTTGCCAAACCTATGGGGCTGGACAAAGCACTCAGAGCAGTCACAAAAAGTGACCCCCTAAGGAAAACCTTAAGTTAATAGCCTTGTGTCTTAGTTAGGATTTCTATTGCTGTGATAAAATACCACAACCAAGAGCAACCTGGGGAGGAAAGGATTTGTTTCACCTTGAAGATCACAGTTCTCAAAGCAAGAGTCTGGAAGTGCTGGGCAGTGGTGACACGCACCTTTAATCCCAACACTTGGGAGGCATAGGCAGGCAGATCTCTGTGAGTTCAAGGCCAACCTGGTCTACAGAGTGAACAAGGTCCAGGACAGGTTCCAAAGCTGCACAGAGAAACCCTGTCTGGAAAAACAAAGAAGAGTCTGGAAGCAGGAACTGAAGCAGGGCCCATGGAGGAGTGCCACTTATTGCCTTGATCCTCACAGCTGCTCGACCTGCTTTCTTATAGAACTCAGGAGCACCTGGCTGGAGTGGCACCCCCCAGAGTGAGCTAGGCTCTCCCACATCATTTATTAATCAAGAAAATGCCAACGTCCATAGACCACCCTGATGGGAATATTTACTCAATTGAGGTTCCTTCTTCTCAAATGACTCTAGCTTGTGTCAAGTTGACAAAAATCTAACCAGGATGTCACGTATCAAGATTAGGTCATCAGTTGTAACCAGTGCACTACAACAGTGCAAAGTTTAATAAGGGAAACTGAGGCAGAAAGGGTGGGGGGTCTATGAACACTAGATATGTTCATTTTCTGTAAACCTAAACCTGCTCTAAAAAGAATGCCAATTTTAAAAATGGTGAATGACCTCAGCCCACCATCCATCACACCACCTCATGTCACTTGGTTCTGTTTAAGGGAGTTTTAGTGTAAAACTGAAGGTGGCTAGACTGGACATTGACAAGATGGGGGCATCTGGACTGAGCATAGAAAATGTGACGGGGAAGAGAGTGGACATGGAGAAGTTGGAGGCATTCAGACCGGCTCACAGTCCCACACTGACAGTGGAACAACCTTTCACACCCCTACTTCTGATCTAAACAGGATTTCTATAGCTGGCTTGCTTGTTATTCAGCTCTTACCCACCTTTCGGTTGGTTTCTTCATCCAGTAACATCTACTCATTTTTCCATACCTTTTCCTACGGTTGGGCAGTACTGTCGAATCATTTTCTTGTCTGTTTCACTAATTAGCAATTGACTTCTAAAAACACAGCTCATCTTCAATAAATGCACTTACTAAGTAACTGGTCAATTAGAAAGACTGGCCCCCGGGGGATTTATGACATCATTAGGTCTCCAGTGTGGCCTTGTGCAGTCACACTCAGGTCCCATATATCAGGAGGAGAATCTGTAGTAGCAGGGGGAGGTGCCCTGTTCTGTTTGCCCAGCTGTTGGGTTCAGCCCCAGGCCAGTGAGTCCATCTCCGCAGAACCATGTGCTGTCACAGCCAGATTTATACTCTAATTATTTGCCTTTCTTTTGCAACCGCTACAGTTTAGTGGTCATCGCATTTTCTTCAGCCCTAGTATCCTTTTTCAAATTGACTGCCATACCATTAGGTTTGTTCAACTTGTTTCTTCTTAGGAAGGGAGCTTTGCAAAGGTATCTATCGATCTTCTCTTGCTTAATAAATACACTGAGTGTTCTTCTTCAATTGTCTTCTGTACGTGAAGCAGCACTTTGTTCTCATACAGAAACCCTTTACACACAGCTACATCCATCACTGATAGAAAGCCACCTGCTTCAGCATTCCTGAACACTCCTCTCTGAGGACCTCCCCAGAGAGAGGCAGTGGGGATGATGAGCTGCTGCGGTGGCATCCTGAAGGACAAAGGCAGATGCCTCACTCATAGCCTCACCTCTGAGGAGTGATGACAAGAATACATCGTGTGCAGCAGTGAAGACGTGCGTGAGGATACAATGCCTGGGCTTAAAAACCAATCTCTCTCTCTCTCTCTCTCTCTCTCTCTCTCTCTCTCTCTCTCTCTCTCTCTCTCTCCCTCCCTCCTTCCCTCCTTCCCTCCCTCCTTCCCTTCCTCCCTCCCTCCCTCTCTCTCTCTCTCCCTGCAGAAGCAAAATACACACGATTTGCTTTAACTAAAGGAGACTGTAGGCTGTTCTCCACAGCCAGTTAATAGCTCAATAAGTGAAAACAGTGAATACAGAATCCTTCAGTTAGTTATTGCTTATGGTAATGTAGAAGGAAATTCATCT